TGTGTTTCGTAGAAAAATCAATTCAGAATTACAAAGTAGCTCAAGATATAAATGGAACTTACAGCTACATCTTGGAGGAGGTATCCAGCCAGTACTTGTACATTTTGCAGTATTTCCCCTGGTTGCAGGATAAAAACCACTTTTACATTCATATCTGATTTCATCTCCAGTTCTGTGCTTAATCCTTTGAGGTGAGTAAACACCATTTGGAATATAAGGAGGATTACATGTTACTTCTGGGGAAAAAAATAGGATGTGTGAATAGTGTGGAAATCAGTACTCATTAAAATTAAGTATAAAAAAGTAAGACTATAGGTAATATTTATTTGTCCCTAGAGGAGCACAAAATGACATTAAAATAAACATATCCTCACATATCACTATATATATATATATAACCTCATATATCACTCCAGTTTAACTTACTGTGGTTTTTACCAATATATTTGTGATATCATGAAGTATGTGATAGCTTTGTCTAAAGCTATCACATACTTCATGATACTCCTTGTCTGGCAATGACTTCATCATGATCATGTATAAATATTTCTTCCACTTTCTTCTATTTCTTTGGACACTGTTGCTCTAATAAGGATTGTTTACAAAAATATACATAGACTCTTCTTTCCACACAACTGGTAGGAAATCACATCCATTCTTTGAATTAAATGTGGCCATATGACTTAGATAGTTCAATGTAATGAAAATAAAACAGAAGGGAGTTTTAAAAGACATTGTGTGAATTTTCATGTTCTCATTCCCACATCTGCATTAACTGAAGAAGAACATTGGAAAGATGATGCCTTTGTCACCTGATTCTTAGAACTAGTTTACCATATTTCACTGCATTACCATTGCCAATGTTAAAGGATTCTTCCACAGAGAGACCAGGAACCAGGGCATTCAGCAGGAAGCAGGGCATATTAGTGTTGGCACTGGTCCAGCGGATTTGTATTCAAAGGCTGTGGTCCCAAAGGAGGTGATGTTGCCTTATATATCTCTTGTTAGTTCCTCTTTATTTGCTAGCTCTTTGTCTCCCATATAAGGTAATATACATTATATACATTCTAATTGGGCATTATATTTTATACTATAGATTTGCAACAATATTACAACAGAGTTGTGGAATGTGCATGGTGATTTTGTTGGTGTCATGTTACCTTTCCTTTGTTCTGAGAAAGTCCCTACCATACCACTGCATTAACGTATGTTCATGAGTATTCCATGTGTTCTAATCTTGCACCAAGACAATTTAGTAATGAAAATTTTCAAGTATTACCTGCACAATTTAAAAAACAATGTTTCATATGTGAAACATTTAGTAGTATTTCACATTTTGGCAAAAAAAAGGCATAAAGTCTGCAATGATTTTTCAGTGAAATACTGTGCAGAGACCCTTCTGAACTGTATTAGAAGTGAGCACAAACTAGAAACAAAGGGTAGTTTGTTAAGATATTGATATACTGCAGTCTATTTTTTGGAAAGCCTTTTTTGTAAGGGGTCTCTTTTGCAACTACTTAGGTCTGGCAACATAATATAAAAGTAACCATACCCAATTTGTAAATAAATGGAGGTTGTGGTGTTGCAATACAGCTTTCTTTACAAAAGGGAAGCAAGCTTGATTTGACCTGTGAGCAAGTTTGCCTTCCTTTGATAACTCTTCTCACATATAAAACTCTTTCTTATTCCTTCCATCAATTCTGCTATATCCCAATAATGGATCAATTTACAATATTCTTTTTCTTATAAAGTGCTATACATTTTAAGTATAGTAGAAAAGTTATATAAATGTCTGTATTGATGCCATATTGTAATTTGGCCTAAAAACATGTGGTGGATATTGATCATTACTTATAATTCTTTATATTCTCATAATTCATCTCTTATTTCATTAAAATAATACTTTATATGCTCATAATTTACCTCTTATTTCATTTTCCAATATAAGTTACTAATTGTTAATACACTCTTTTCAAGCCACCTAACCCAATTGCTCTTTTATCAACAAATAATAAGTCTTTGAACTTTAGTTTACATTTCTTTTCTTAGGTTTTACTTCATGGTATAACTAAATTTAATACCAATTTTTTTAATCCAAAAGTTACAAGTTACAAACAACAAAAGTTTAAGTGAATGCTTAAAGTGTATCGGGTAATTTTGTTAAAACATTCGAGAATGGAAACACTTCTGAAGATTAATCTCAAAATGTAGACATGAATTCATTGATGAAACTTAATTCTTGTCTTTTGAAATCTTTCTTAAAATAAACAATTTAAAAATTGCCTTACTATCTATTGCTATCTAAAATAATAATATTCAAGACTATCCAAATGTATGTGGTCCCTTTTTCTCACTCCCAGATACATTTGAAGTAAGAATAATAATGCATGATTAGCACCATATGTTGTAAATCAATTTTTAAAAGTTTATGAGGAAAACAGATGGAATTGGATCAAAAGTGACTTTAAATCAATTCATTTTGACATGTTTAATTATTCCTGTAAATGACTTATTGTAGGGTGTCCTCTATTGGACAGAGAGAACCAAAGTTTTGACAACTCTGTCAAAACCCTTGGCATCTATATGCCATGGAAGAGATGGAAAGCAATTCAATTATTTTCTCCTCAACCATTTTAAATTTTGATTTATTACTCAATTTCTGAGCTTTGAGTTACACAATTTTAGAGAAATTAAGATTTCTGGGTCAGGAGTTCATCACATGTCAACAGGTCAATTCTTGCATTGTGCCAGGAAAACAAAGAGAAGTATTTGTAATATATTAGCTGAGGTACAGAAGGTAGAGTCCTTTTGTTAACAAGAAACTCTTCTACATCTAGTCAATGTAAAGTATATTTAAATAAAATGAAACACATTTTGAAACAATGTACATGCTTATCCAATTTGGGGTAAATCTCTCTTTATTGTTATCAAAGTTTAATAAAATACCTTGTGATCAGCCAAATCCCTTTTAATGTGGATTTAACATGGATTATCATTGTCTTATATTCATTAATTATTTTCTAAAATATTTTGTTAATGATGCCTAAAAATAGAGATCACTCTATTGTGAAGAAAGATACATTTCCCATGGAACTGTTTGTAAACTGAAGCAAAATAAAATGTTTAATTATAAAATCAATTCAAAATTAACTGTACTTTTATGAAATATAACTAAAACAAGATTTAAGCATGTAATGATATACCACAGATGTAAAGTTCCGAGGGTTCCTAGGAGTTAACTCTCCTTACCTCACAGTATGGTAAAGTCTGTGAAAATCACTGGACCTATCAATGGTCCTTCTTTCTCTCACTGTAACAGTTCTCATCAAAAAGCTACCTCACTTCTTTTCAGAAATGCCTGCAAATATCTGAGGACAGGAATTACTACAATATAGCTATGTCTTCTTGCTATTCTTTTTATGGTTATGATTTCTTAAACTCTTCAATCATCTATATTCTCTCTTCTAGGTGATGATCATTGGAAGACATCCCTTTAAAAGGAGGTAGGAAAAAAAAGAACACAATATTCAGATATACTTCTTGTGGGGAAAAGCACTCTGCCTCTCTGCATGACATCCTTCCATGAAGAAGCTGGGAGTTAGGATTTCTTTTTCAGCACCACCATCACTGTTGTTCCAAATTAAACCCATTGCTCATGAAAATCTCCACTTTCTGGATCCCTTTAATTCCATTGTCAATAGAGATTTACCTCATCTGATGTTAACATAATTTACTCTTTAGAGCCAAATTCTAGGCTTTAGAAGAGCAATTTATGTATTTGAGAATTGCAGATTATTGAAATTGGAAAGCCTATGACAGTCCTGGCTCTGCTCCTGGAATGTTTTATCACCAGGGACTAACTACTTAATAGTGTATTTAAGCCTCTGGTCCTATTTATTTTTATCTTGAGAGAATATCATACAAAGTACTATCAAAAGGACTTTGCACACTTAATTCTTACAAATTTTATACTCTGTTTTTGAGAAAATTAGATTGCTTACATAAAATGATTATATTTATTAAAATAATTGTTGGGGTTGTAGCTCATTGAATGGTAGAATCCTTGCCTAGCAGACAAATGGTCCTGGGCCCAATCTCACTTATCACAAAAATAAATAATAAATAAATAAATAAGTGATAAAATTCTTTTGGAATTGGGTACCAAGAATTGAACTCAAGGGCACTTGATCACTGAGCCACATCTCCATCCCCCTTTTCTATTTCATTTAGAGACAGGGTCTCACTGAGTTGCTTAGCACCTTACTGTTGCTGAGGCTGGCTTTGAACTGGTGATATGCTGCCTCAGCCTCCTGACCTTTGGGATTACAGATGTGCACCACCATGTCCAATCTGATAAAATTCTTAACAAAAGAGACAGAAAATAAAAATAACCTTACCTTCACATGAGGGAGTTGGACTCCATCCTGAACTAGTGCAGATAGCATTGCCTTTTTCACTGTATTCAAAACCTTGATTACATTTATATTGAAATCTTTCATTCTCCTTATAAATTTTCTTCGGAGATATAGAATATCCATTTCTAATTTCTGGCGATGTACAGGAAATTTCTAAATACAAGGGATTAAATTCTAAAATGTTATTACGATCTAAAAGACTATAACCAAGTTGTGTTTACATAAAAATAGAAATTTTGTTTCCATTAGGTAAATCAGCCAACCAAACAAAAGTTCTCTTTTGGCTTGACTGTCTGATTTATCTGTTATTCTTAACATCAGTTGTTATCATCTGTTGCTCTTCATTTTTGCCAGAAGCTAAAATTCTGAGTAAAATTCTGTTTCAACTTTAGTTTAAGGGTAAATTAGTCCTTTGGCAGTAATTGATAGTAATATTCACCAAATGCATATGTGATATTGAATATAGATTTACTGTGATAAGTATTTTCTCCAAGTGACCTGTAAAAATAAAACATTTTCTTGTTATTGATTAGAGTACTTATTCAACAGAATCTTTTTCAAGGAAATTTATTCAACTCATTTTTCATTACATCTTTGAAAAGTAACTGAGTTCTGCTTTTGTGTCTTCACCATCTATACAGGTTTTCTGTCAAAAACAAAATCACAATAAAACAAACACAAACAATAACAACAGAAAACTGCCCATCATCTTTGACACCACTTCTCTCAAACACTTCTCTCTGAGATAGTGACAATGATAACTGTTTTCCCAAATCCTCTTCTTCCATCTTCCTAATCTGTTTTTCTTGGGTTTAACTACAAAACTACCAAATGGCCACTTAATTCCTCCACTTGAAATCCTTCACCAGTTCTAAAATCAGTCTGCATTAAAGCTAAGTTCTTAAGAATGGTGCATTAGCTTCTCAGTACCTTGTACTGGCCTATCTTCAGTTCATCACTGACTTATCACCTTCCTATGCAAGGCCCCTGTGGACAGTGGACAAGGAACAATAGGACTTCACACTTATTGAAGCCTCACTGCCTTTCTATGTTCCTCTTCTGACCTTCCTGGGACTGGCATGCTTTTGCCTTCTTCATGGTCACCTAAAAACAGCTCTCTCTTCCTGTAAGACTTTCCTTAAGCATCTGCAATTCCAGGAAGGTTCTGCTAGTCATTACATCTAGCTGTGATCATAGAAATCCCATATATGAATCTCTAAAGTATTTAACTTAACATTATTATCACAGAGAACTATTTCTGTTAGAATACTTAAGAATTTATTTATTTATTTATTGACTTACTTACTGTAAGGTAGACTAGATAAAAAATGTGAATAAATCAGAGGTTTTAGGTAATAAATAAATAAGGCAGAAACTTCTTCCCAACAAGAATAGGTTAAATGAAGTATGGTTCTATTAAACTAATTGGCCATAATGTTTAACTTAAAAGCCAAAATCATTGATGAATCAAGATATACAAATCAGCTATATTGTGACAAAATAAATTGAAGAAATCATGTAAAATTGACTTAGAAATTTTTCTAAAAGAAAATCATTTATTTGGTGGATTCAACTATGTTCAGCAGTTTATACTTAACTTTCAGCATAAATATGAAAGAGAATCATTTCCTAGAAATAAGTTATCAAAGATGAGTTATTCAAAAATATAATGCCATCATGATGTACCAGTGGAAACAAAAAATAAATGTTTGGCATCCAGAATTAAAAATCGACTTTTTTGGAGATCAGCACAGAAAGGCTGAACATTCTCTTTCAACCTATAAGAGCCAACTATAGCCAGGAGTGGTATTACACACTGTAATCCCAACAGCATAGGCTGAGGCAGAATTTCAAGTTCAAAGCCAGCTTCAGGAACAGCAAGACACTAAGCAACTCAATGAGACCCTGTCTCTAAACAAATACAAAAAGGGGCAAGTGATATGGCTCAATGATTGAGTGCCCCTGAGTTCAATCCCTGGTACCCACCACCCTGAAAAAAGAGCCAACAACAATATGTTTATAGTTAGAGCATGGTGTTGATGTCAGACAATAACCTAGGCTTAAATCTAGACTCTCTATGCTATGGTAATCTAGGCTGCATGATTTGATTTTTGTTGTGGTCTACATGTGAAGTAACACCCAAAAGCTCATGTGTGAGACAATGCAAGAAGATTTAGAGGTGAAATGATTGGGTTATGAGAGCCTTAACCCTATCAGTGCATTAATCCTCTGATAGAAATTGACTGAGTCGTAACTGAAAGTAGGTAGGGTGTGGCTGGAAGAGGTGGGTCATTGAGGGTGTACCTTTGGGGTATGCATTTTGTATGTTGTGAGGAGAGTATCTCTCTCTCTCTCTCTCTCTCTCTCTCTCTCTCTCTCTCTCTCTCATTCTCTCTCTCTCTCTTTCTCATTTTTGATCATCATGTCCCGAGCTACTTTTCATTGCTTCATTATTTCCCCATCACGTCCCTTGAGCCCCAGGGAATGGAGCTGCCTATCCATGGACCGAGACCTCTGAAACTGAGAGACCTCAAATAAACTTCTCCTCCTCTAATTGTTCTTGTTAGTTTTTTTTTTAATCAAGCAGCCAAGTAGCTGACTAAAACAATTTTGCACTAAAATTTCTTCAATTATAGAGATGATACTAGTACATAAATCATAAAACTGTTTTGTAGGTAGAAAATAAAATAACTTATATAGAAAACTATGATCAACTACAGAGATATTGTACATGCTTAATAAACATTAGCTTTTTAAGAATTATTTATAGTCATTATTATGTACAATGTTTTCAAATATATATTTTCATAAGAAAAACTAAGAACAATCAAGTAAGCAGTTAAATACATCTTACCCACACATCTTGGTTTCTCATTACTCCAATGACCATCTTCTGAACAATATATTTCTTTCTGTCCTTCAAGTTTGAAGCCTGAATTACACTCAAACTGCACTGCTTGTCCAAAATAATATTCCTCATCTGGTTCTGTCGCACTACTGATAATTCTCCCATTCTCTGGTTCCTTCACTGGCAAACACTTAACAACTGAAAAAAACAAAAATATTTTTTTTCTAGTAGAATTTGAAAACTTTGTAATGAAATTGTGTGTGTGCGTGTGTGTGTGTGTGTGTGTGTGTGTAAAATCATCAGAAAGATAAAATAGAGAAAATTATTTAGATATTTTTAGAAGCATTTGATACACCTGTTTGCAAAAGATAAAGCTAGGTAACATTAAAATTACTGTTTATCAAGGAGAGAAGTGAAATATAGTAGATGGGGTAGAGAGACAAGATGGGAGGGGAGGGGGGATAGTAGAGGATTGGAAAGGGAGCAGAATACAACAGTTACTAATAGGGCATTATGTACAAATGTGGATATGTAACAGATGTGATTCTGCAATCTGTATTTGGGGTAAAAATGGGAGTTCATAAAATTACTGTTTATCTCTGATTCTTTTCTGTGGAAGTGAACAAACAACTACTACATTTAATGGTAGTTTGCATTTTTATGGTAACAAGTAGCTCAAATTATTAAGAAATATAAGTTTAGAATGACTAAATACAAAATTTCCATTTATGCCCCAAAATAATATAAACCAGCATTCTAAAAGATATAAAAGTAAACATAATATTTATTTCAATAGAAAAAATGTTCTTAAATTTCTTTCCTTTTCTACCTCAGTGTTCAAAATAACTTGAGTACTTATTTTGATTTTACTTAATATTTTCAAATTTCCAAGGTTATGGAAGTCAAACATTTTTACTGAAGAAGGACCCTAGATTCTTCTTATAATGAAAATTCTAGAGTGCTTCTCTCTCATCCCAAAGATACTGATTCATTGGCCTTTTTTTCAGTAACCCAAACCTCAGTTTTAACAAGGATTCTAAGGGATTTTGATTTATTTGTTTATTTATTCTCTCTCTTTCTTATTTATCTATTTATTTATTTTTGAGGTAGTGGAAATAAAACCCAGGTCCTCATGCATGCTTAATAAACACACTACCAGTGATCTATAACCTCAACTCCAATATTTGATATATCGAAATACAAAATATGTAGTAATAAAATGACTTGTCAGGCATGTTTGGTACACATCTATAATCCCAGTGACTTGGGAGGCTGAGGCAGGAGGATCACAAATTCAAAGCCAACCTCAGAAACTTAGTGAGGCCCTAAGCAATTTTCCAAGACCCTGTCTCTTAATAAAATCCAAAAAAGACTGGAAATGTGGCTCAGTGATTGAGCACTCCTGAGTTCATTCCCTGGTACCAAAAATAAATTTACACATAAAAAATAAAACTGAATGACTAGATACATTGCTGCACTGGACAAGTAAGAATGCAAAAAGAACAACTTTCAGATTTTTCAAAAATTTCTTAAAACCACCTACCTGTAGGATAACAAACTAGATATCCACATTGGATATCCAGTTAAGTGGTTGGTATTCAACAAGGGAAGTAACTGCACTGTATTATAAACCAAAAAATAATTTAAATAAAAAATATTTAATTATAAACTTAAGGATGTTTTGATGTCAAATATTTTGAAAAAGCTTAAATAGTTTAGCTATCTTGACAGATTGTAAATGAATTTTATATTACCTTCACATATCGGAATATCATTTGTCCATCCTTCTGCATCACATTGACGGAAATTATTCTCACCTAACATTCTATACCTAAAAACAAAACAAACAAACAAACAAA